GGGGCAGGCCTGTTCGGAGCGGCGGGCGGGTGCGCCGCACTCGCTCGAGCTGCGGCGCCTAGATGAGAGCGTGCAGGCGAGCCCCCAGGGCCCCACAAGGAATTGCGTCTTGAGGCAAGCATATGGTTCAATTCAGTGACAAGTCAAACAACCCAGGCTCACTTGATCCAGTGTTGGGGTCTATGTGGTGGTTGTTGCCCTGGCTGACCGCGAAGAACGCCCGCGCATAGCGCCCAAAGCCGACGGCGTCCGCGCCGCAGCTGTACGCGTACTGCGTGCGCCCGCCGGGCAGCGTCGCGTTGCCCACCGGGTCGCAGCCCTCCGGGTGCGCGATGTCGCCGGGCGCGACGTCGGCGCCGGCGACGAGCGTCAGGGGCGGCAGGGCCGTGGCGTTTGCGGGCGGGGCCAGGGGGAGCAGCTTCCGGGGCTCCCCGCCGAAGCGTGCGTCCAAGGTGTAATCGCCGGCCGGGACGTTGAAGACGGTGACGTTACTGGCGGTGAATCCTGGGGGATGAGGGACGGCGTGCAGAGCAAAAGGAAGGGATTTTTGAGGAATGTGCGGCTCTGTCGGGGCTGCGCGAGAGGCTGCCGAGCTTTGCGGCCGCGCGGTTGCAGCAGCGGCACGGGCCCAGCATGCGACCTCGGCCGTGCACGACCCCCTGCCCATCCAGTCCGTTGCTACGTGCAGCCGTCCTCATTTTGATTGAGCCCTGGAGGGGATATCTGCCCGAAGCCAGGTGTGCTTTCAGATTGCCAGCCCACCGCTCTTAGTCACGGTGACCATGACCGGCGTGATGCCCGCAGGCACCGCGCAGTCGATGCGGCGCTCCTCCGTGTTGACCACGCACGCGGTGTTGTTGACGCTGACGTCATCGAGCGATACGCCGACACCGGCCGCGGCGTTCACATCGAGGCGGGGTGTGATCTGTGTCATCCACTTGTCGGTCGGCTTGCACAGTGGCGTGGCGGGCGCCAAGGTGGCAGGCAGGCTGACGTGGAGGTCCAGGGGGACCGTCTGAATCGTGGCAGCCGTGAGGCAGGCGCCCCCTGCACACGAGCGGGGCGAGCGATTGCATGGAGGGCAAATCGAGACAGGGCCGTTAGTGGGCGGCGGTGGCCGGCGGCCGGAGGGCCAGAAGACGGCCGGGAGAAACGAACGCTGCACACTTCAGCACTTGCGCACATCACAATAGGTCCCAAGTCGGCTGTTGCGGCGGCCCTGGCGTCACGCACGGCAGGCGGGGGCGCGGCGCAGACCTACAACCCCTGCGCGCGCCCGAGGGCCCCATGTGCGCTCACTCTCATTGCCGAGCACGCCCCACGTCAGCCGCTGCGCGCCCGAGTCGACCCGGCAGCGGTACAGCAGGTCGGCGCCCTGCGCGCCGACAAACACGCACTCGGGCCGGGCGGCGCCGGTGGTGTTGAGGAAGCGGACGTCGGACGACGCGATGCCGTCGCGCATCACGAGGTACACGTCAGCAAAGACGGGGCGGTCCTGGGACGGCAGGTCGTCCGAGGTTGCGACGTAGGAGACGGGGGGGAGGCGGTCCGCGTTTTCGATGCTTGCGACGCCGGTCTGGGTCACCGAGAGCACCACTGAGTCGCTGACGGTGCCGTCATGGGCCGCGTCGGCTGCGAGGGGTTTGAGGAAACCACACGGCAGAGTTCAGGTTAGGCACGCGTCTGGCACGGTCCAGCGATGACGGGCAGCAGCTGCACAGTGATTCAACGCACGCAAGCCGCGTGGCTCGCACTGCAAAGTGTCGAGCAACTGGGTCAGTGGGTGAGCTTGAGAGATCACGGCCGCGCACCCCAGATCTGGATATCGTGAGAGCCCACTGGGATGCCCTTGAACATGATCAGCTCCTGCCCAGCCGACGCGTTGAAGGGGCCGTCGTAGTTTGACTTGGTCAAACCCTCGGGCAGGTTGACCTTCAGGGGGCCCACGGCGGCGCTGCCACGCGCCACGGTGACGTTGAAGGCAAAGGTGGTGGACGGGTCACAGGTGCGCACGGACTGGTCCGGGCCAGCAGACATCCTGGTGTTAACGGCCACCTCAACAGTGTCGGAGACCGGGCAACCTGCAGCAATGGGAGAATTTGCAACAGGATGAGCTCAATAAAACAACCTTCAAGAGGGGATGCCATACGCGAGCCTGGTCTTCTTTTCGGGCAGCAGCTGTATGCCGCTTGACCTGCAGCACAGCATCAGCACAGCCCGAATAAGGGTGACGATCGGATCTCCAGCCTCTAAGCGCGGCCGATGTTGCCAATGGTGACCCAGCAGCAAGCCTGGGGTACAAACCCTTTTACTGCTAGTGCCATCCCTCCCCGCCCCACGCGTGCGCACCGCTCTTGTTGGCGGAGAAGGTGATGTGCGTGTCCCCGATGGGCAGGTCCCTGCACCTGTAGGTGAGCGCCACGCCTCCGCTGCTGCCGGTGAAGACGCAACCAGCATAGCTCGAGGTGACATCATTCTGCGTCAGCCCGCCACCCACGTAGACGTCCACCACGGCCTCCGCTGCCGGCCCGGACTCAGTCACGATGGAGCTCTGGCGGGCGGCGGCGCTGAGTGTGTAATCGACGGCTGGTGCATTGAAGACGGTAATGTTCCGCGCTGTGAAGCCTGGGGGCGGCGAGGGGTGCAAGTGCAATGATGAGTTGGTGTGATGCAGGCAGCAAGTCAAAGTGCCTGGCGCCCCTGTGGCGCCGGCGCGCGTGCCAAGGCGCCTTGCGAAAGCATGGGCGTGATGACTTGGCATGATAGTTGAGAGTGGCGGTCAGCGCGGCCTGCACAGCCAGGGCAGTTATGCCTGCCCTTGTTGTTGCTCTGGAGACGTGGCTGATACCACGCCAAAGCAGCCATTCAGCAACTGCCACCCCAGGCTGTCCATGATACACAGCGCCGGCCCAGGCGTATGCCACCCCAAAATCAAACAGAGGGGGCGAAAACCCACCGTTCTTGGTCACGGCGACCTCCACCGCCGTCACGCCCGCAGGCACGTGGCAGTCCAGCCGCTGCCCCGCGGCGGCGAGCACGCACGCGGTGTCGTTGACGCTGACGTCATCCGGCGAGACCTCGAAGCCCGACGCCGGGTTGACGTCCAGGGCGAGCGGCAGGCTGGCGCTCCAAGTGGCATCAGAGCTGCACAGGGGAGAGGCCAAAGTGGACGCGGCTTGCAGGCTGACTTGCAGGTCCATCGCGCGCGTCTCCACCGTGGTGGACTTGATGCAGGCACCCCCTGCGTGCGGAGGGCGGGCGGGGGCGGGCGGGATCAGGTGGCGGCAAAGAGGGGGTGATTGGCGGTAAAACTGCACATAATGTGGTGTCGTGAGGGAGCTTGAGAGGAGTGTTGCGTCCAACAAATTTCTGGCCAAGCAAACAGCCCACGACACAGATAGTGGTGACTTTGCGTCGCGCCAAATGGCCGTACAGAATATGTCGAGCTTCGCAGCATGAGGACGTGCGCAAGGCGAAAGCAGCCCTACGCCCCACATAAGCTGTGACGTCCCTGCGGAGCCCTGTGGGACGCCGCCTGCGGGCAAGGCGACCCCAACACCTTGCCCCGCTCACTCGCGTCACCGAGCACGCCCCACGTCAGCTGCTGCACGTGGGAGGTCACCCTGCAGCGGTACAGCAGGCCGCCCTCCTCCACACCACCAAACACACACGCAGGCGTGGCGGCGCCCGACGTGTTCAGGAAGGTGATGTCATCAGGCGTCAGCAGCTCGCCCGCCATCACGAACAGATCAGCAAACACGGGCTTGTCGGCCGATGGCAGGTCGTCGTAGGTAGCGACATATGTGAGGGGGGCGCTGCCGTCGGCGCCTGCAATCTGGACGGGGCCAGTCTGCAGGACTGACAGCCTCAGGGAGTCGCTGACGTTGCCGCCGCCGGCCCTGGCCGCTGCGCGACGAGGGAGAGGGGGTGTCGTGAGGAGCAAGAAAGCGGAGTATGACAAAAGGGGCAAAGGGGGACATGG